GAATTGTGAGTCAATTGGGTGGACCGAACCAGTTTGTGGGAATGCATGTACGTGTGGGAGATGGTATTTTCAAGTTACGTGCGTCGATCTTGGTAGATGATATCTTTCATCAATTGGTAGATCAATTTACAGATTTGTCTGTGGAGCAAGTGGAGGCCTATGAAGGCGGAGTTGAACAACATGAAATGGATCGCACAGAATCCACTGAATATGAAATTAAATTAAGAAGTTTCCATCCTGTGGTGGATGAATCTGCCAATCATGCTAAACCAATCGAAGCGGGTAACAATCGACATATTGAGGATAAAGATCCGAATATTGCGAGTCGACTGAAATGTCAAGCGGGAGATGACGTCACGCATCGATTTAGAAGCACAGTAGTCTACATAGCAACAGATGCACCGGATCCAAGAAACCATCCACTTTTACGCAAGATCTTCAAGGTGTTCCCCTGCACATTTATCCTTTCAGATTTCATGAACGAATTGGACGATATCAAGCAGTTGCAGGTGGTAGAAGAAAGGGTGAAATTAGAGTCATATTTAATTCCGATGGTAGATGCTATGATATCTGCTCATGGACATACATTTTTGGGTACACCTCATAGTACTTTTACAAGTTATATTGAACGACAACTCCATCCTGTGTATACGGGTAAAGAAGTTCAGGTGATGGGTCTAATAGATTATTTGAATTCCACAAAATAGATCGATCGAAATAATCATTTTCAAAAAGTAAATAAAAAGTGGGTTACCAGGCGACAGTGGCAATAATTCGTTTTAAACAATCGATCGAAAAAAAAGGGAGTTTGGAATTATTTTTAATTATAAAATGTTCTACTTTTTTTTTTTTTCTTCTTCTTCTTTTTTCTGTATCATATTCTTTCCCTTCTTTTTATTTTATTTTAATATGTTTACTGAACCCTATCCGAATGATATGAATTTTTCATGTAATAAAATTGCTTTATGAGTAACGCGAGCGAGAGAGAGAGAGAGAGAGAGAGAGGGACTAAAAAAAAAAAATTATTCATTTGATAGACACCGAAAACAATAAGAACCAAAATGTCGGTAGAGCAGTCATTCATCAATACAAATCATCTCATGCATTACAACATGTGCCTATATCACCCCCCAATCAATTACACTCATTAACTCATTGTAAGAAATGCGACGGACGTATTCATGAACCTATCACTTTAACATGTGGATTTACTCTATGCCGAAGATGTCTACCTACCACACCATCTCAATGCCTTTCCTTTTCATGCCTACGCACCCATTCCATAGACGAAAGAGAGCGCACCACCACCCGATTATTAGAAGATATTCTGTCACGATTTGATCCAACCCAAGATAAAAGCGACTATCTACCACTTTTCGACTGTTCTATTTGTTTATCTACATTAACGGAACCTATTACAACGCAATGTGGACATACATTTTGCAAGGAATGTTTAATTCGTAGTATGACAGATTTACCTTCACGTAACTGTCCTTATTGTCGAACGCAACTAGATCGTATTGGTAAAATAAACCAACTTGTTTCGGGATGGTTAAATTATTTAAACCATACCTTATTGAACGAATCACCAGAATCAATTCCTATCATTCAAATCACGGGAGCAGTTGGCTTTCCAACTCAACATTGTCTCATTTGTGAAGAATTTGAGCTTAGCTAAAAGATCTTTTGTGTAACTCAATTGAGTTTATTAACGAATTACACAGCAATAATAAAACAATAGTTCTTTCCATTTTATAATTTTTGGTCGTTATTAGCCTTTTCAGAATAAAGCGCAGGATAAGCCAGTTTGACTCAAAAGGGATTAAACTTAGACATATATCAGAAACTTCGACTTCATTGTGACGTAATCCGTTAGAATACACTATAGAAAACGTATCTCTATTCAAGCTACAGCCTGAAACCAGTCTAAATATATCTCTAATCAACATCTTACGATCAGAGACTGTCAATTCCCGGCCAACATTACATGGTGGAGTAGCTGGGCGCTTTGACTTAAATAATAACAATCCTTTCGTAAAAAAATACAACCGCTCGTCTTAAATATTATGCAACAACAACAACAGTTTCAACAGTTCCTACAACAGGTTCAACAACAAAATCTCACTAACCAAGCATCCCCAACCCAAGTTTACAACATGAACAATCAGTTTATGAGTAACCCGACAATGTATGGAATGTACCCTCAACCCATGCCTATGATGTATCCAGGTCCAATGCCTGTTTATTTAACTAATAGTGTACAAGGTTCTATGATTATCCCCTTCAGTGGAGAATATCTAGATACAAGTGAAAGTATTTATGACTTCTTAGAACAAATATCCTATCTACCCACATTCTCTTCTCTTACTAGTGCTCAGGACAAAGAGAAAATCGCTGTGATTGGATCTCACTTACGAGATACTGCCTTATCATGGTTTCGCAGAACGAGTTGGTCAGACATTGCTTATGGCTCCGAAGATCAAGAAGGATCCTTTGTGTACATGTTCGTCAATCACTTTTTAACTAACGCCACCAAGTACAGGCTTAGAATGGCTTTCAATAGAAGAGTGCAAGGCCCTAATGAAGATGCAGTTAATTATATTAAAGAAAAAGTAAATCTATTCAAGAAGTTTAACAAAACAGAGAATTACGAAGAGAGTACTTTAGTTGCAGATGTGGTACAAAATTTAAATTTGGTAACTCAAAGGAACTTACGTGCGGCACCTACTTCATTAGAAGATTTGAGAGCCCAATTAGCTCAAGCAGATTGGATTATGAGAGAAGAGTTACGTGTCTCGTTGGCCCCTTTGATGAACAACGGCTTTGGAAGTAATACATCCTATGGTACCGCTAGTAACAGTAATGGATTTGATATTTATAACGTAAACACCGCACAATTACACACCATCAAGCAGCAATGGGAGCTTTTTCAGCTACAACAAAACATGAATATGTTACAGATTAACAATGTATCTAGTAGTGAGAATGTTAGAAAGCCCACTTACGCTCCCCGTAACAATAATGGAAGAGTGCAAGAATCCAATGGTAATTCTCAAGAAGTAGCTAATCAACAAGCTCAAGGCAATGGTGATACCTTGAAAGTTCCACGATCCTCAGTGACCGGCAACACTAACTCTGGATCCTTTTCATCTCGAGTATGTTACAACTGCAATGAAGAAGGCCATATACAAAGAAACTGTCCGTCCTCGTGTGGTAACTGTGGTGATGAGAATCACACAGCTAGTGGATGTAGAAAGCCAAGAAAAACTCAAGCACAAAACCAGGATTTTCGGGAAGGACACCGCCAGTAGGTAACGGTGTCCCAATTTTAAATATCACCTTAACCAGTGAACAAAATCCTACAAATATTATAAATGCAGTAAACGGAGAAACTGAGCAACAAGACGTTGATATGTTATCCGCTGAAGAATGGGAGACTCAGAAACGTGCACGACGAGCTATCCAACTAGCTAAAGCACGTGCTAGAAAGAAGGAGATAGCGTTGTTAGACAAGGAAGCATTAGCTCAAGGATTACCACGGCCATCTCAAGTAAACAAAGCTACTAAGAAACATCCCTTATTGATCAACAAAGAAGGTAAACTGGACCAAAAATTCAACACTGCGGAATACTTGAGGTCCTTGACGGTGACCCTTCCTTTGGCGGAATTCCTTTTCTTGTGTCCATCTCACAATCAACAAGCGAAAGAAGCTTTAGGTTTTGCTAGTAATAAATCTGTTAGTAATGTTACTAGTGGAACAATAGTGCCACCGACATTGGCCACTCCCAGCGATGCTTCATCATCGTTAGCTACGGCGACGCTAGCTGATGTCAATCCCGTAAGGAAAGTAGACAATAATATCCATAATGTTGTACAAAGAAATCAGATTTTCACAAAATCATTCACAGATCGTAACAATCCGGGTGCTAGTGGTACTGAACTCCAAGTGGTTCAAATGTCTATAGGTGAAGGAGATTACGATGCGCTATTGGACCCTGGTGCAAATGCCTCTATTATTCCGTATGAAGTAGTCAAGGAGTTACAATGGGAAAATCGTATCGAAAAAGTGCCTGGACTATCGTTGAGTTTTGCAGGAAGGGCTAAGGAAAGCGCCATGGGGTTAATACGAAATGTTGCTATTTTGTTTTCTGTGGAATTAGAAGTCAGCCATACGTTTATCGTAGCAGATCTAGATAACTTCCCCCTGATTTTGGGTATTGATTTTTTCGAAGGAGCACACGCCATGTTAGATGTATCTCGTAAGGAATTGATTTTCGAAATCTTAGATGAAGACGACAGTGAAGTGGTAGTAGAGCAAATTATTATCGATACGCACGAGGGAACTGGAATAAATCCTACGGCGTCAAAATTGGGTAATAGCAATAGAATAATGCAGATAGTATTATCAGGTGGGGAGAGTGGTGACAAAATAGTGAAGTTGAATGAGGACTTGATTCTGGATCCTTGGGAGATTAGCATCGCAGCTCTCAGATACGCGGAACCTACAGTCTTAGATAATACTAAGATGGTGCACATGCTTGTTCCTGCATATGCCAGTGCAGTAAATGGCGTAATGTTGTGCCCGACAATTATCCATACCACCAGAGTAGCAGAAACAGTTATTGCTAATGCAACTAATAAAAAGGTAATGATAAAGAAAGGTGATGCTATCGGAATAATTACTCCTGCTGGCGACGATAAATTATCAATGGAGAGTATCAAGACAAAAAAAAATGTAGTTACCGAGGTAGAGGTTATTCAAGAGTATCTGGCAGAAATGATGGAAAACCCACGCGACCAAGCTATGCCTTCCGTTTCCACCGCACCCGTTTATCTACCTGCCGAAGCTATCAGCAAGAATAACTATTACCACAACATGCAGTCTTATGTTACGTCTGTTGTCTGCGAATGGTCCAATAAAAATGACAGTGTAAAGAAGGTCAACAATGTCAAGCAAACCGAGCAAAAACCTGTTATTGAAGAAATAGATTGCGGTGATTTTGACATCAACCCCGAATTAATGCCCGAGCAAAAAAGGGAGATTTTAAATGTGTTACATAAGCATAAGAGCGTATTTGTTAGTTCACTTAAGGAAATAAAAACATTAAATACTGACCCTTACATTATTGACTTGAAACCTGATGCGAAACCACAACGATCTCGTGCGTACATTGTGCCACATGACGCTCAATTATGGCTTAAAGAAACACTACAGGAGTTATTGCGCACTGGAAAAATCGAGGCTGCGGACCCCAATAGTGAATGGGCTGCTGGAACGGTGTTGATCCCTTCGGATATAGAAAAGAGACATAAGAAGAAGAAGATACAATTCAAAGGAAAAGCCAAGCCATTTGTAATATCAGACAATAAAAATTCGCTGTCCAATGTCAAGAAAGTGCCTGGTAGTAAAATTTACAACACCACTATCCAAGATTTCATTGAAGAGGCTGAAGATTCATTAGAAGAAGATAACATGGAACATCTTATTGGACAGAAATTTGGAGTCGGTGATACCAAGAGAAGAAAACAGGCTATACTAGAAGATGGAAATGTTGTAGGATATACTTCTACTGCTCCAGGGCTTAAAACCAAGGATCTATATCGGTTATGCATTGACTATAAGAATCTAAATGCGGTGACAATGAAAGACCCTTACCCATTACCTGATATTAATATGTTGTTCACCCAATTAGGCAAGGCTAAATATTTCTCTATCATGGATGCATTAAAAGGATTTTGGCAATTACCGGTACATAAGGATTCAAGAAAGTATACAGCGTTTATTACCCCTCTAGGAATTTATCAATGGTGCGTAATGCCTATGGGATTGCATTCGAGTGTAGCTTGGTGGCAGAGATGTATGGACCGGACGTTTTCGGAAGCACTCTTTGACTACTTCATGATGTACGTGGATGATGGTGTGGTATACAGTTCAGATTTTGAGAAGCATGTACAGCAACTAGACAAAATTTTGTGTATGGCTGAAAGAGTGGGTCTATCCATGTCGTTAAAGAAATGCAAGTTCGGATACCAGGAACTGAAGATATTGGGATACATGTGTGGAATTAATGGATTCAGGATGGATAACTCCAAAGTAGAGCGATATATGTCATGGCCTCGACCTAGGAATGTGTCGGAATTGAGAACCTTTTTAGGAGGCATCCAATATTATCGAAGATTCTTTCCAAAGCTTTCTGAGGTTACTAGCGGGATGACTAAACTGTTAAAGAAAAACGTCAAATTTAATTGGGACGAAGAGGCGCAAAAGGGATTCGATAAATGCAAGGAAATGATGAGTAGCGAGCCTGTTCTAGCACACCCAAGATTCGACCGTGAATTTGTTCTGTATTGTGATAGCAGTAAGAAGGCTATATCTGGAATATTGACTCAGGCTGATGAAGATGATGGTAACATCCTACATCCTATCTATTATGGAAGTCGGGCATTGATAGGTATAGAAAAAACAACAATGGCAATATGGGAGTTGGAACTATTGGCTATAGTCTACTTCTTGAAATTCTATAGGTATTATTTGTTAGGTAATAAATGCAAGGTCATCACAGATCACCAATCTCTCAGGCATTTAATGAAAATCAAGGAGGAGTCCAATCCGAGGGTAGTGAAATGGTTGCTTAGTGTGATGGAATTAGACTTTTCGGTGTATTATCGTCCGGGGGCTCAAAACGGGAATGCAGACAGCCTATCTAGAATGCCGTTTGATCAGGAAGGTTTAATGGAAATGCCTACTTCTGAAGAAATTATTACAGATAATTACTTACCTGTGTATAATGTCATAAGTGGAGGGATTAACGATGACGTTTTCCATGGAATATCGGAGGAGCGCTATCGATGTCTGTATCAGTTTTTGAACACTTTAACCTTTGGAGAAAATATCCAGCTAAAGGAAAGGAATGCAATACGAGCCATGGCTAGATATTATTACATCGGAGAGAACGATCGTATTTACAGAAAGAAGGACGAGAAATATGGTGACAGAATCTTAGTTAAAGAAGCGGAAGTCAGAAAAGTAATAGAAAATATACATGATCATTGGCTCTCAGGGCATGCCGGAATAGCTCGAACTTTTACCAACGTCAGTCGAAAATTTTACTGGCCTAATTACTACGAGGATATACGGTTATACGTTAAAACATGCCACATATGTCAAGCCCATTCTCTTAAAAATGCGCCAGTGGTACCTATGATGTCTATACCTGCACCACTAAACGGACCTATGACCGAAATAATGATGGATTTTTGTGTATTGCCTAACGTACAGTCTTTTGGAAGCTTTAGCTATGTACTTGTATTGATAGATATGTTCACCGGTTGGGTAGAATGTCACCCATGCGTAACAGCACAGGCAGATATAGCCGTCATTGGATTATACGAATGGATCTGCAGATTCGGTATCCCATCAACTGTGTATAGTGATGGAGGCACGCATTTTGTTAATGTCATAGTCGATAGAATGGTGTCTAAATATGGGATCAAGCTAGCGTTAGGTCCATCAAACCATTCTCAGAGACAAGGAAAGGTTGAAAGAGTAATCCAAACCCTTAAATTATTGTTAAAGAAGATCTGTGCACAATATCCCGGAAGTTGGGTTACTTGGTTATCAGCAGCTAGTTATGTCGTCAGGACCAGCGTATATGGAGGACACGGATTCACACCATTTTTCCTTTTGCATGGTCGGCAACCCAGAGGAATTGCGGATTGTCTAGAAATCAAGGACTTAGGTGAAGATGTTCTGTTGATGGAGACCGGAAGTAGAATGAACACAACTAAAATACAGGATCAAACCATGATTAATAATATCGAAGAAGGCGTAGATGAAGAAATCGATTATGAAATGTTAGAGTTGGAAGAAAGATTGGAAGAAATTATTAAATTGAATGATTCAGTGTTATCAGAAGCTGTAAAGCGACAAGTGGTTATCAAAGAAACTCAAGCTAGAAACTATGATGATGCTAAAAGAGTGTCCGTTCGATCATTTAGATTAGGTGACCAAGTAATGGTACTCAATCATACAGTAGGAGATATAAGCAAAGGGAAATTGGGTAGCAAGTGGATTGGACCGTACCGTATTGAAAGAAAATTACCTAATAACGTGTATGTGATTTCGGATGGGCATCTTATGGTTGCAAGCCCCGTCCATGCTAATGACATCAAACTGTTTCTACAAAGACCGAAAGATAACTGGTTATATCGAAAATGGGTTGTAGAAGGTGAACCACAAGAAGTAGCAGAAGCTGAATTAGGTGAAGACCGTACAGGAGGAGTTGAAGAAAACCCTGGTTCAAATTCCTTAATACTGAAGAAGAGGCGTCGTACCTAGCTCTCCTTAAGTAGGATCCTTGTGAAGAATTTGAGCTTAGCTAAAAGATCTTTTGTGTAACTCAATTGAGTTTATTAACGAATTACACAGCAATAATAAAACAATAGTTCTTTCCATTTTATAATTTTTGGTCGTTATTAGCCTTTTCAGAATAAAGCGCAGGATAAGCCAGTTTGACTCAAAAGGGATTAAACTTAGACATATATCAGAAACTTCGACTTCATTGTGACGTAATCCGTTAGAATACACTATAGAAAACGTATCTCTATTCAAGCTACAGCCTGAAACCAGTCTAAATATATCTCTAATCAACATCTTACGATCAGAGACTGTCAATTCCCGGCCAACATTACACATTCATATTACACAAGATAGACTCTCCTTATTAAAACGAATGGCGATGAGGTCACATCAGAAACACTATGCCATTTGTATCTTTTCTAACGGACAAGAATTCTATCAACACGGACTTATGCTACAGATCAATGGAGTAGAACATATGCAAGATCTTCGTCATTCGGTCGTGCAAGGCAACGGATTGTTCCGTCTTGGGATTGGAGGATTACGATTTGAAGACGGATGTTATACCGGTGAGGTGACACGGTTAGACGATGTAGTATCTGCACCACTACCTCTTTTACAACCATGGTCGAAGCCATCGCATGTGATTACCACTCAATCTACACCCACACGTAAAGTAAGTCGGCCTAGACCTTGTTCGATGCGAATCAGTAGTTCAGCACCCAATCATCACTATGTAGCTGCTTCTAGTTGTCCTGGTTCGGTGTATCGAAAGACATGGGCTATGGATTTTAGTAAGAAGCCTAGTTCACCGCCTCCTACCCCAACATTTAAAAAACAACACACTAAACTACCTTTGAGTCAAAGCGTGGAAGATATGTATGCACAGTTTTGTATGATGGTATGGAAATATGTTTCAGAAAACGAAAGATGGATAATGCAATACGATTGGTATGTGCAACAGGGAAATCGTGAGGCGATGGTGTGGTGGGGAGCTCATATTTTACCCTTGACATTTGAAGAGAAAATGTCAGTTTTGAGCACCGATTCTGTACGCGAACGGATGGTGATGTTGATCACTTTGATCAACAAATGAAGATCCCTTTGTGTCATCATGCATTTATACCCTAATTTCCCTCTTTTTTTTTTTTTTTTTTATTTTACGTATACACTAATATATATATATGCCCCTCTCTCTCTCTCTCTCTCTCTCTATGCCCCTCTCCCCTTTTTCTCTAGTATTACTAATAATAATAAAAATGATAATCTACAATTCTCGGGTTTCTTTTGTTTAAGAAAAAGTGTGGATAATGTGATTATTTCTATATATGGTTCTATTATGATTATTACCTTTTTAGCACTGTATCGAGATTATTCTATTCTCGATCCTTTTTCAGTTTTTGCATTACGTTTAAAAAAAAATATTGTTTATCGGATCGTGCATATTTGTGAGGCGTTTTTATATATGATTCAAAAGTTTTTTGATCGATGGTAATTTATTTTATTAATTTTAAACTTCTGGGAAAAAAAAAGTTTGGACTTGTGCTGTGCATAAATAAATGCTCTCTCGATCTTTTTGCACTCACGCAACACACACACAAAAGTAAATGAGACCATTTTTGATTGTGGATTATGCATTTGATAGAAGATGTAGAAAAACCTTTTTTTGTTTTTTTTTGCCTCCCCTTTCCCGTATCACTTTCTCTCTTTTTGTATCAAAAAAAAAACTGGATATTTAAATCTCCGTTTACAAACAAATCATAAAAAGCCTCTCTTCTCTACGGGAAGCGTCCGATTCGTTTATCGTCCCTGTCTCCCCTAGTGGGTGACTTTTAAAACCCCCAAAGTCGGAATTGTCTTTTTACAGAAAAATAAAAAAAAAAAAAATGTTCGGGATTGTATATGAAGTTGATTATGCAAAAGGAAAAAACCTTTTCTAAAAAGAAAATCGACACAAAGGGCAAAATATATACCTGGGGTAAACCAAAAGTACATGGAATTGAGACTGGTAGACTATTCATGTTTGACAAATCACAACTGTTGTTTAAAAAAATAAATAAAAAAAGGTTTAGTTACCAATAATAGATAAAATATTCAGGCGTTTCTGACTGGTCCATATTACGAGAGACAAGTACACAAGCACCGTTTTTACGGGGGGATCCTATATCGAATTACAAAAGGCTTATGTAATTTGTACGCAATATCCAACAGTAGGAAAATACATAAAAATCAGCAACTAGCATTCATCATCTAACTTGTAAATATAGCTACTTGTAACCATCATCTAGCTTGGAAATAGAGCTAGTAATTACCATCATCTAGCTTGAAAATAGAGCTGACACAGCATACATTATTAAAAAAAAAAACAAATTAAATGAGTGTGGATGGTGGGGGAAAGCTGTCTCCACCTTAGTAATGATGACACGTCTTACAATAAAAAAGCTTCCCTTTTTTGACAGCTGTGTGTCAAGGAAAATCATTTGAAACGGAAAATAACTACTTGTAATTCTAAAGTATATTTTACAGAACGTCCTTACAGAATTTATTGGTTAAAGCAACACATGCTGGTACACTATTATGACGTTTTTTTTTTTTTTTTTTTTTTAATGAAGAGAGGGAAAGTCATTAAAGATGAATGCACTGCCTTAAAAAGTGTGCGACAAGAGCCAACATAATATATGTGGCAATCAGTGTTCTTGTAGATGGTAAACACTGTGGCAAAGACAAGTCAATGCAACATGATGAAGATGACACAGTCCGTCTGGCAAAGACATGTCAATGCAACATGATGAAGATGGCACAGTCCGTCTGGGAAAAAAAAAAAGAGGTGAAAGTGGACGCCGTGGATCACACAAAAAAACAAAAAGCCTCCTCCCCCCATCCCCGCACTTTATTTCAATCTCCGATACACCCCCCACAAAATAGATCGGAGATTTAAAAAACACAAGGCGCTTATCTTTCTTTATCTTTTTTATATTTGCGAGGGGGAAGTAAAACCAGACGTTTTTTTTTTGTATCCCTCCTCCCTTCCAATTGGATGAGTAAATCCTATGTAATCATTTGTTCGGAGGAAAGAGTGAAGTAGAGAGGATGATTCTATTTATATTTTTTTAATAATGTAGTACACCTTTTGCCGTAAAAAAAAAAAAAAAAAAAATTGCTCTATATAAATGAGGCGGGTATTTAAAGGTAAGTACAACGAGAGAAAGAGAGAGGAGGGGGAACGCATCGCAATGACATATTTATCATATGGGGTTCTACAAAACTTACGATAGGCGTTTGAAATGCATATTTGCTCAATGTCAACGGGTCTATATTTATATTGGTGATCACTATGGGAAGAAGGTAGAAAAACAAGAGTTTTTTTTTTTTTTTTTTTTTGCATTATATTTGATTTATTGGTTTGAGAGTGATGTGATTTTACCAAGCTATTGGGATGCATTTTACTATTCTGTTCATTACTTTTTTTTTTAAAAAAAAAAAGGGTTATGAAAGCATCGTTTACCCGAACGAAAAAAAAAAATTAGTAGTTTTAGAGAGGAGATTACGTATTTTTTTTTTTTAAATGATAAATAGAAGAAAAAAAAAACCAATATGACTTTCCATTGCTTCAATTACTTTCTCAAGATCATCGTCATCCAAACTTTATTGATGAAATAAAAACAACCGTGGAGGCACAGACGCGACGATTTTTTTTTTTTTTTTTTTTTTTTTGTGGAAAAAAAAAAAAAAAAAAAAAAAAAAAGCTTTATCGATTAACAAGAGATTGTTTTCATCAAAAGATAACCTTTTTTTTTTCGTGTATCTCTTTCAAACGCATCCAGAGATAATCTATCTTTTTTCGCTAAAAAAAAAATGATGTATATATTTTTTTTTTTTTTTTTTTTTTTTTTTTACCAAAAAAAAAAAAAAAAAATGCCTCAAATAAGAAAAAGAATGGATAGAGTTATAGTTACCCGTCTTGTTTTACCTGGATAAACGTCACCTATCAAGAGTAGAAAGAGAAAGAGAGAGTCGGGTAAGAGATGATGCATTGCTGGGATAAAAAAAAAAAAAAACGGAAAACCTTGTCAAATGAAGTTCCAACATGATTAAATACTACTTTTAGTTATTTTTCCTTTTTCACAATCAAAATCATACCCACCCCCCAACAAGTAAATCAATGACATGTCTATTTTTCTTTTCCCGCCAAAAAAAAAAACGATATTCGGGTAGCTCCCACGCTCAGCTATTTATTTTCATTAAAGTGTTAAATTACTGCTTAGAAAAAAAGAAAGAGGGGAGGGCAAAAGCGTCTATTGAGCGTCCATCAAACGTAATTCTTTTTTGTTAAAAAAAAAAAAAGGAGAATGAAGGATAACGTTCAAGGGATGTGTGACACACTTGATTGAATCGTATATAGTAAAGTCTACATATCAGTTTTATGTGTACATATATATATATAATTTATTAAAATGATCTAAAATACTAGGAAAGACTGAGTGAATTGTGCTGTAAATCAAAAAGGGAAAAATCGAATTGGTTCATAGAGGGATGATATTGTGTGGAGAATAGGTTGGGTATGGAATCATGGTCATGAATGAAGGAAGAGTAGGAAAGATCAAGGTCATCCAAGATGCGTGTAGCATCCATAGCAGACAAGGGAGAAACAGTGTCTGTGATTTGACTGAAGGAAGAAAAGGAGTCGGGTGAGGTACAGTAATCATCGTCTTCTTCCTCTTCTTCTTCTTCTTCTTCATCGTTTTCCTTGTGAATGGTGGTGGTGGTGGTGGTATGAAATGTATCATAGGAGGAGAGTGTTGAAGTAGGGGATGCCAGTGGCGATATAATATCGTGTGGAATAGTAATGGATTTGGTGGGTTCAATCGACATCTTTTGACTTAATAAGATATAAGGGACTCCTAATCGTATAGGCGAAGCGGATAAAGTCTCGATGGCTTCATGATCTGTGGTATTTTGACAAAGTTCTTTTAACTTTTTAGTAGGTTTTTTCTTTTGACAAGAAGGAGGACTAGGTTTAAGTTTTTTATGAATCTTGCTTTGGATTTGATTCCATCGTGTTCTACTTTGACGTTGTGTTCTGCCTGGAATCGATTCAGCGACACGAATCCAACAACAACCGAATTTTTTGACGGCGGATTGTAACTTGTCATCTTCGTCTTTCTTCCAACGACCCTTTCGTACTGAGGGATCCAATGCTTCTGTCCAACGTGCTTGACATTGAATACCAGTACGATTAGGGATCTTTTGTGCTATTTTACTCCAAGAGAGTGTGTCTTGTTGTGATGACTTTTTACTGAGATACTTGTCAACAGAAGCAGTGAGGATATCATCTTCTTCCTTGGACCAACGACCCTTCTGTACATGGGTGCTATAGGTAATTGAAAATGATGGTGTAAGTTATAATTAAATTTAAAGATAGAGAGAGGGGTGGTTTCTATAGTTACTTCAAGGCACCTAGCCAACGGGTAGAGCATTGGACAGGTGTACGGTTGGGAACATGACTGGCAATAAGAGACCATTTATGAGATCCGTAAAGATCCACTGCTTCCAAAAGTAATTTATCTTCTGCTTCTGTCCAACGACAATAAGATGGTGTGTGTCGACTGATGCTGCCTACGTCTTGTTTAAATACAGAAAATACACCCTTGCCTGATTGATTCATTCACTGTGTGTATATATTAAAATAAAAGAGAGAGAGAGAGAGTAGGGGGGGGGGGAAGAGGAAATGGGGGAGTGGGGTGATTTTTGTACAAAAGAAAATATATAAAAAAAAAAAGAGAGAGAGAAAAAAAAAAGAAAGAGAACAAATAAAACTAGTCCTCTTTATATCTTTTTTACGTCTTGAATTGAATGTCCTCATGGGTTTTTTTTTTTTTTTTTTTTTTGTCTATGTATTGTGTCTCCATATAATTCTTAAAGGTAATCGTAAAAAAAAAGAGGGGATCCGCGGGCAAATTCGGAGATCAATAAGTTAAAATAAGTAACAAAAAAATTGTATGGGAAAAGAGGGGTGGGCGGCTTTTGTAAAACAAAAAGGAATATCATTGTGCCATTACTACTTTTTGACGTGTCAATACATAAAGAAATAAGAATGGCTAATAATTTTTATAGTATTTTGGTAATGCTACTAAACTTTTTATTTTTTCTGTACTTTTTTTAGGGTAGCATGGTTACTCGATTTTAAAAAAAAAAAAAAAGAACTGCCCAAAAATAATAATTTATGGTTTTTTAGTCAAAGCGCTTGACTTTAGTGTTTCTCAAATCGTTTTTGATTTAGTGTTTCCCAAATGTAACCCGATCCAAGTTACACAAACAAATAAGATAGACAATAAAAATGTGGGGATAATTCCAGAGACAGCTCAGTTGTGTTTAAACTCTTTTTTAGTAACTATATTTTTTTTTGTGAGCGGGACAAACTATATCTTTTTTTTTTTTTTTTTCCCGTAGTGGGGTACTATTTCTTGTCGCTTGTGAATTTCTTTTCCAGGAATCTTTCCCGGTATGTCTTTCGGTGCGATATAACTGGTTCTTGATTAGATTGAACAAATGTTTTTAGCGTAGACTGGGATATAAAAAAAAACAAAGGTTTAAAATACAAGGTATCTTTTTTTTTTCTTTAAAGGAAATTTTCATACTTTTTTATCCACTGTAAAGTTGGGTGGCATCAGCGGTAAATTTAATAGCGTATCTTGCCATCTTTTCTAAGGTGATAATGAAGGAGAATAAATAATGTCAGTGACATATATTTAAGTACCTATCTTCTTTTTTATTTTTACCTGTGATAGTGCTTTTGCTTTCTCTTGTTTTTCTCGAGCTACTTTTTTAGCCATAGCCAACATATTGAACTTTTCTTCACGTTCCTCCCACATGGCCTTTGCCTTTAAATAATCTTGTTGCTCTAACGCCTTTTCTGTCTCGTTCGTAGGAGCTGTCACTTTAGGTGTCTCATGTTGCTTTGCATTCAACTGTCTTTTTTCTCTTCTCTTTTCTAGTTTCTTTTTCTTTCGAAATTCCCAACGTTTTAATCTTGTTGGTTCATTCTCCATTACAACATTTAAAAAAAAAAGGGTCCAACACAAAGAATTTTTTGCGTTATGCCAGTTTGCGCGGTGCGCCCTACTTTCCAAGAGACTGCTTTTTTTTTTCTCTCTCTCTTGTGAGGGAGGAGGGTAGGAGTTTCATTTGATGAGATTGGTTCGACCGAAAGTTTGGCAATTTATGAAATCCTTCCTTTATACAGCAACGTCGAACAATGGTATGTAGTCCACACATAGCCTTTTTTTAAAAGAACTGTTTCTATGACTGTCTCAACCATATCTAAATGGATGGATGGATAGTCTTTTTTTTTTTAAAAAAAAAAAAAAAAAAAAAAGAATAGACAAACACGGCCTTTTTTTCTGATATTGAAATGGCGAAAATGAAGCATTGGCAATTAAACTAATTTGTCAATTATAGCCTTTCGTCAAGCAACAAAAGAACAAGGCTTACTTCAAGCGTTACCAAGTCAAGTATCGTAGAAGAAGAGGTAAACAGTCTTTTATATATTTAGAAACACAATTCAAAGCGCAAATTGGAGACGAGTTTTTATGGATTTCAATGATTAATTGGACGACATGAAACATGGAAAAAGAGAGAGAGACATAGAGAAAAAGAAGAAACGTTTCATTTTTGCGCTTTGTTTTTTTTGTGTGTGTGGAAAGAGAGACATGAAAGCTCAATATAGACTAACTTGTAATTAATGTTAGAGGGTAAGACCGATTACTATGCTCGTAAGAGACTTGTCGTTCAAGCCAAGAACAAGTACAACTCTCCCAAGTACAGATTGGTTGTTCGTTTCACCAACAAGGATATTGTTTGTCAAATCATCTATGCCAAGCTCCAAGGTGATTTCGTTCTCTCTGCCGCCTATGCTCATGAACTTCCCCGTTATGGTGTCAAGGGTGGTTTGACTAACTGGGCCTCTGCTTATGCTACTGGTCTTCTCCTTGCCCGTCGTACTCTTGCCAAGCTCGGTCTTGCTGATAAGTACGAAGGTTTCGCTGAGCCCGATGGTACTGTCCAATTGATTGAAGCTGCTGAGGATGCTCCCCGTCCTTTCAAGGCTTTCCTCGATGTTGGTCTTGCTCGTACCTCCACTGGTGCTCGTGTCTTTGGTGCCATGAAGGGTGCCTCTGATGGTGGTATCTTTGTTCCCCACAACGGTAACCGTTTCCCTGGTTTCGATTTAGAGACCAAGACCAACGATGATGAACTTCTCCGTAACTACATTTATGGTGTTCACGTTGCTGAGTACATGGAATACCTCGAAGAAGAAGATGAGGAACGTTATAAGAAGCAATTCGCCACCTTCATTAAGGCTGGTATTACTTCTGATAAGGTTGAAGATATGTACACTGAAGCTCATGAGGCTATCCGTGCCAACCCTGCTGCTCAACTCGCTGAGAAGAAGGGTAAGCCCGCTAAGCCTTATCGTCGTCTTATTGCTCTCAACAACAAGCAAAAGGCTGCCAAGATTGCTGATGCCAAGGCTATCTTTGAAGCTTCCAGAGCTTAAATTTCTCGGTTTAATTATTAAACACAAAAAAATAAAATCTACCAGTTTTTTTTTTGTTGTAAAATTCTGTCCTTTTTTTTTTTTTTTTTCATGCATTTGTTAACTCCCATATACGCTGTTTGTGTAGCAATTTTTTTTTTTTTTTACAGATGAATTGTTTCCAGCTTATATTATAATTATACCGGATCGATTTTTTTTATAACCCAAATATCTTTTTTAACCTCCACACACGCACACCATCTAATCTGGTCCTACGGTAAAACAGATTAAAAAAAGAAAAGGGATATGCCCGACCGACTCTCCCCTCAACCGTTACCAAATGCGAGTTTTTATATTATGCATTGATCACATTATATATAGAAGGCTCATCGTATTCGCTCATTTGATAAACTTTTTCGGGTGCAGTAGTATCAATCTCTCGTATCTGTCTAGAAACAATGCTGTATCACTCTGTACTCACACCCTTTTTTTTTCTGTATCTATACCTTATTTTTATGCTTCTCAGATTTTTTTTTTTTTTATTTATATATGTATAAAAAAAAAAGGTACCATTTATTCGACTGTCATGGCAACCAATGCTTATCTTTTTTTTTCATGTTTTACAAGTTTAGATTGTTCCCCCATGTTGGGACATAAGAAAGGTTGAATCAGTCCATGTAAAAAACTTATTATCTGGGAGCGTGTGTGTGTGTGTCATCTTCCTTTAGTTTGAATTTTAAAAAAAATCAAATGGAAATCTCCGCCTTAAGGGCTTTTTACAATAAACGTGTACACCCCTCCCAAAGCTCAGCATTTTTTTTTTTTTTTTGTTATGTTGTACTCGTGGGTTACCCCACCACTCTACTGTATTCGTCATGGGTAACGCTATAAGCCACACACATGCTAAATTGATCTTGGGGAGTACACCCGGAAAATAAAAAATTTATAAAGAAAATATTGCATTATGTAATCATTACAGACCCTTCTATAAGAAAGGGTGTAGGAAAAGAGAGCAAGCTTAATAGAAAAAGTTGTAAATAGAATAACTTATTTTTTTTTCTTTTTCTCAAGGTGAGAAATATTTTAATTTGCTTCACAATGAAGCCATGATGATAATACTCTTGTCCATACGAGTGTAACACATTAAAAATATCCGCTTTTTTTTTAATTTCTTTAAAAAAAGATGCGATAAATCACGGGAAAAAGTGATATAAATGTTACTCAAAAGTGATGTAAATACGCATTCCCTTGTTCTTCATCAACGTCTTTTTTGTTATTCTCCTTTTTTTTTTTTTTAAAAAAAAAAAAAAAAAAAAAAAAAAAAACGCTTTACATCATACCACCACTTAGGACTAGTTCATGGGAATCAGACATTTTTATTAGAATATGCAACATCACCAAAAAAAAACAGACAGCAAGCATAAAAAACCAAATGCTATTTTAGTAAAAAAAAAAAAAAAAGGGCAGTGCCCTATTTGTTGGCATGTGTGATACTACAAAAATCAAAAAAAAAAAAAGATGTGTGAAGCCTAGCCTTGCCCGAAATTTGATTGATGTATCAGACAGGAAAATTAAATACTGTATATGAGTTTATTGATGAGCATTTAGACGTCTCTCACACTTTGTAATTTCTGTGTCAAGTCAATCTATGTAAACCCAAGTGATGGCTCAACGATTGTCTTTTTAGAAAAGCATTGACTATAAAATAAGACAATGGTTTTATAATTATATATGGCCTTAATTTACCAGAGACTCATTATCTTAAAAAAAAAAATCACAACTTATTCTGATCTCTTGTTTTTGCTTTTCTATTGACGATCATGAAGATATAAATTTGCAAATTGTCTTATTTTTGATATATTTTGATGAAAAGCAAAAGACGACTGAAAGATTCCTGCTTGGTTATTATAGTCCAGCGTGCATGAATTTTTTATGTGATTCATATGGACTTTTTTTTTTGCAAATTACAAAGAGTGGGAATGTTTTAATGCTCTTTAGTAGACTAATCTATGGACTTTTTTTTTTCTGATACGTTCATAGACTTTCGGGGCAAGGGACTTGCAATTTATACTTCTTAACCTCTTTGACCTTTTAAAAGGTACCACTTTTATGTCATCAAAGACGCTGCTTGATGTGCTGTAGATGGATAAATTACATTTTGGGTTTAGTGCTTTCTGTGAGAGAAACTGACTAAGACGTGCTATTCACCGATCAATTTCTACCGTGCTCTTGTGAGAAAAGGGGATTGTAGTGTGCGTCATATTGAGCGTTTTTTTTTTTTTTTTTTTTTTAAGAAGAATCACAAAGACTTTTTTGCAGTTTGTATACATCATTTTTTGCGTAACATGGGATCACTTCCTTAGTGACAAAAAAAAAAGGGTTCGGATTTTTGCGGGATATGGGCGATGTCGCGATCAACTTTAAAGTCTTATTTTTTTCTCATGTTAAAGCAGACAGTTTACAAAAAAAAAAGGTCATATGGTGTCGATGATTAATTTAAATCATATGAACTAAAAAAAAAAAATACCCCACACATTGGTTTTATCAAGATGGTAACGCTCTCATGATCTTTTTACTGTAAAAGCTCTTTTGGTTGGCTCTAGTACCTCTAATGTTAATATTTTTTTTTGTGGGGGGGTTATCTCATGCTAGCTTTCTTTGGTCATTATGTCGTTTAACCTACCTCTAATTATACTAAATCAGGCAGTTTTTTTTTTTTTTTTTTTTTTTTTTTTTGAAGATGTCTAGTAGTGCAGAAGTGCTTGTATAACCATAATTAAGTGGTATCCTTTGAAGACCATCATTAGCTACACAAGAATTATAATTTAGCTACTGATAACCTTCTTGCATTTAAGAAGAGCTATGTGCTGTGTTGAACATATAAGTTTATATTACTTCAAGAGTGATTGCTAATATAATTCTTATTTTTTTGTCAGTGAGAATCACTTTTAATATGCTTATTTCAGATCACCTTTCAATAAGCATGCCTTTTTTTTTTTTTTTTTTTGCCAGAAGCTTTCAAAAAAAGAGAGGGAGAAAAAATCTGCTAGTTATACATTGTTAATTATCAAACAAATTAAGGAACATGCTTGGAAAATACGAGATAGTGGGAAAGTTATAAGTAATCACCATGTACATACAATTGCAATATTTTTGACAATTTATTATCAAATTGCTTATCAAATCTTTTTTCTCAGGGGGAAAAAAAAGACAGAAGCCCCAAGTTGGGCCCAATGAATCCATAAAGTCCATTAGGGTGATATTTATGCAAGAATAAAACAACTTCTTTCTAAACAAGTCTTAAAAAGTTTTCTGCATATTGATGGGAAGGTGGTCATTGCAATTCTCTTAAATTCAGATCACTTCAAGTGCAATAGATTGGTTTAAATATACACTGTTATCAAAATGCGTTCTTGATATTACATAGAATTGTAAGCCCGTTTAAAGACTTGGGTTTTATAATGATTTACCTTAGTGAAACTGATGCTTTGTGCATTGATCCATACTTCAACTTTTTTTTTTTTTTTGCCATCAATTCTATCACACTTGCTCCATGGAGCTTCTCTTCTACTCTTTACCATGATATTCTACTATAATAAAACTATCTCTTCGCAAAAAAAAAATTCTATTTAGAACGATGTTATTTGACAACCTGTCAAAAATGACTACGAGTGTAAAATAAAAAAAATAAAAATACACATGACTCATATTTCTCAGTGTGTTTTTAAATAAATAGAAAGGTGTTTATTTAGATGTTGGTTTACAACTATGAATATGAAAAAAAAAAAGGGTTGGTTTGCAAACAATCTAAAGATTATATTGGCTTATCGAAGCAGAAAGATTTTTTGTCTTGATCAAAAAGCAGTAGTGAGCGCTTACGCTACGCATAAATAGCCGTACGATGTTGTTATGATGTTTTTACAGGACATGGCTCCAAGAAGCTATATACATTGCACGAGCTTATTGACATGCCACAATTCATACACCGGAAAAAGTGTAACACATGAGTCTATGACAAACCCTTATTTCTTGTCAGATAGATTTCACAGGAATTACAGTATAAAAGAACATCATAGATCAGTGAGAAAGGCTTTCTATGTATGTAATACTACTGAATGACAGTGAATTTTTTAACTCCCAGTCATTACTTTTTTCACCCTGATCTTAGATGCTTGCTGATACATGCTACCCCATCTCCTAGCACACAGACATACACACCTATACATTAACTAGAAATACTGGGATTAAGCGCCCGTCCATTACCGATTTATTGAAAGTGTTGTGTAGCGTTTTTTGACTGGTCCCATATAGTAAGAACGTATCAAGGCGAAGTAATAGCAATACCCGCTATTATCGTTGTCCAAAGTGTATTAGCTTAAACCATATATCGAGTAATAGATACGATTCGTCGTTTACTAGATTTAATTCTTTTATCTCTCACAAGCCAAAACTAAGTTTATACGTTATAAGAGGGGATCGGTTTCCCAAAGTATTCACGGTTGGTGTTATATATATATATGTATTTGTTAAGTCTAAGGGTAGGTAGAGTCCCGTTAAAACAAAAGGGATTTACTGCCCTTTGCCTGATATCCTGCTAAACTGACCCGCTGTCATTCTTTCTAAATATCTGTTAGGCTTGATATAGAATGAATAGGGTGTGCCTATCTATCATTCTATTGCAATGCATTCTACTCGCTAAATTTCATTCTATATACTACGATGGCTGGGCAAATAAAATTGTGCCTGAATTCAAATCTCTGCTGTGAGCCCAAAACGTGTGTGTGTATGTGTGTGTATAATGTTCTTTTGACTGGGAGTGCCTCTAATGTGAAGTTTGCCTCTAACACTTGATCTTTTTGTGCACGGTCATTAGCAAATAGTATATTCTTTTAATAGGATGAGGTAGTTTGGTTGTAAAGGGAAAGTAAAACTTTCGTGTTTTATGGCGTCAAAGTAACCAATATTTACTTCTAATCGACTTGTAAAGATGTTGCTTGTCATTACAAAAGTAAAGAAGAAGGGAGGAAAAAGCTTGAAAGCTGGTTTTTAAATTAAAATAAAATCAAGACTGACCAAGCTTTTTAATAAAAAGGAAAACTGGGGATTTTTATTTTTATTTTTTCTTCGCCTTCTTCTCTCTACTAGTCCTCTAAATTTTTTAATTTTTTTCACACACACAAATGAACGAAACAAGATCATCCTCGCCTCAAAAGCAGCAGCAGAAGCAGCAGAAGCAGCATACAAACGACATGGAATTAACGCCATTGGAGTATGAATATAAGCAATTGAAACGTAAAATGAAGGAAATGACTGAGGTATATTTTCGTATATATAACTATATATCAACGCCCTTAGATGAGATAATAATAAGGATAATAGATGAATATTGGGCTGAATAAAGATTATTTTCATGCAAAAAAGAAAATCCGTACACTGACCTTTGAACGAAAGTAAGTGTAAAAAAAAAAAGAGGGTAAAGCTAGAAAAAAAAATGGGAATGTATCAACTCATATGAAAAAAAAAAGTCTTTTATTGGATAACATTGGTCGATTGGAAAATATGGCATCAGATGATAGTGATAGTGATATATACAGTGATTTATCAGATACGGACGACGATTTGGATATTGCCACATTCTCAAATTCGATCGTTGCCAAATCCAAAATTCTAAAGCGATTGGCTGTAGTTAAACCGGACATGGCAACGACGACTGTATCTTCTGCTCCCAAACGAACCAAGTTGACTCGGATGTCTGTCAAAACGCGTCGTGTTCAACCCATTGATCGAGATAGTCAGGGCAATCCAAAACTGCCTCAACAAATTGGTGTCTTGACGGTATTAAACTTGGGTACCATTGTCACTGACAGACCTACTTTTCATAACGAGCGATATATATTCCCAGTAGGTTACACCGTAAGCAGGTAATAGCTTTTTATATAAGCTTAGAATTCAAAATAACGCTTTATTTTCACATATAAAAAAAAAAAAAATAGGACGTATCCCAGCATGATTGATCCTCATAGTAATACAGTCATCACATCAACGATTGTGGACGGTGGTGACGCGCCACGATTTCATGTAGTGGCAGCTGATATGCCACATGAACCGATTATTGCCAACTCTGCTACAGGAGCATGGACTGTGGTGGTTCGCCGATCCAACGAGATTCGCCACCGTGATCATTCGAATTCGGCCAGTGGACCTGATTATTATGGGTTTAAACATCCCACCATTGCCAACTTGATTCAAGATTTACCCGGTGCTAGAGATTTAAAGCAATATGTTTGGCAGACCTTTGAAGAGATGGAACCACGTGCCGCCAAAGGTGTGATGGCTGCAGCAGAAAAAAAGAGAGGTAATCTGGAACAGATGGGAAGTGCCAATAAGAAACTACCTGAAGAGTATGAGGAAGAAGAAGAAGAAGAGGAGGATTTGTCTTTGATAAGCGAACTTTAAACGAAAGAAAGAAAAACAACTTCATTTTTGTACATAATTATATCATTTTCTTTTAGCCACCACTATCACCCCTATTTTTTTTTCCTCTTCTTTCTTTAATAGTATGCATAATTAATAAATAATCGCTTATATATATATATTCATGTTATTTATTGGATTGACTTCCACATAGAATAAAGGTGAGACTGAGACTTAAATGTACAATGTAGCATCAGCATTGGAAGTTTTGATTTCGATGTTGATATTTGACTTGTTTCCCAAGTTCTTGCAGGTACCTTTTTTCGTTGATTTTTCATTGGTTTCATAATGCAAGGAAGATCGTTCTGTTGATTTCGCTACTACGTTGGCTGAACCAGTACTATTGGATTTAACACTAAAGTGACCGGAAAATGTGCTGGGTAAATAAACATTGACAGGTGCATTCGATGATTCGATTGAAATAGTAGCAGATCCATTAGCGATATCCAAGATATGAATATCCATGGGTGCATTGGATGTTTTTACGATTAATTCTTTACCGACCGAGACATTTCCCAAATTGATGGGTGCATTCTTTGTCTTGAGACTGACACGAGGTGCCTGAATAAAGCTATGAATGCGAATGGGAGCGTTGGTGATTTCGACATCAAGAAAATTGGCAATGATGGACTCTCCTTGAACTGCAAAGACACCGTTGGTAGATTTGACTTTGATTGTATCCGTAGCAAATAGATGGCCTTCCACTGTAATAGCACCATTTGCGTTCTCCAACAGGATGGTATCTGTGGCTGAAAGTGAACCGTGAATGGTCATTGGACCGTTCTTGGTCTTTAAGTGACAGGTACTGCCAGACCAACTTTCAGCAAGGTCAAGTGGGGCATTGTTTTTAATGATTTCCAATTCGCTATCGTAATCAGAAGTAGTGTTTGGACCTCTTCTGCTACCACCTGAACTGCTTTCGGTTGCGCTACTGTTTCCACTTGAGTTTGAGCCTGAGCCTGAGCTTTCACCTGAGCTGCTTCCTCCACTTGGACTGTCTCGTCTGACACTGTTTCTTCCGGCTGTACTGCTTCCGCTGACACTTCCTTCGCTTGCATATCTTTCATTTGCGCTGCTTTCATTAGCACTGCTTTCACCTTCATTGCTTCCACTAGCACTACTTTGATTGGATTCATATTTTGGTCTGTAAGGTTCATAAGGTACATCAGGCGATCGAGAAGTGTTAGAACCTTCTTCACTGTCACTTCTTCTCGAGGAGCGACGAGAACCACCTCTTTGATTGAAACCTCTATGATCTGCTTTACGCTCTTTACGTTGTTCTCTGCGCTGTTCTCTTCTGTTCATGTATCCATCCACGATATCCATGGCCGCCTGAGAAGCTTGTGTGGCTATGGAGGAGGCCGATCGAGCGACGTCAGAAGTTGAAGAGGTGGCTGTGGCACCTAAAGCGAGATTAGCGGCGTTGCTTACGAGTGTTTCAGCTAAATGAAGTAAATTACCAATGGGGCCGTGATTTGTGTTATAGCTGATATTATGTAATAGGCTGTGTTGGCTGGAAGGAGAATGTTCCTCTTTTTTTACAGGACTAGGACGGTCTGGTATACTGTGATAATCGGGAGGTGCTGATGCAGGTGAAGTTTCTGTATAAGGTGGAGGTGATTCACTAGAACAAGACAACAACTTTAACCCATGGTGTTCTCAGGGTAAGGAAATAAAAACATTATACACTTACAGTGGTTCTTTTCCTTTGTCTGCTCATGTTGAAAGAGAAGCTGAATTAGAGACCAAGAAAAGATAACAATGTTAAAGAAATTACCTGTCATTGAGTTGTTTTTAGGGTATGTTTGAAAGAAGAAGAAAGAAAAAAAGAAGAGGCGTTTTTTTTTTTTTGAGTATTTGCGAATTCTTGGCGCATGACAAGTTGTACTTGGCGAGTGCCCAACGTTTCAGGCTGAGTTGACCCGTGTGGCCAATTAGAAAAAGGTATTCAGTGTGGGTGTCTTTATTTTGTTCTAGATAAAATATCTTGTATTATAATCAGTATATAACAGTGATAGAATGCTGATATATGAACGTATGCAGACTGCGCTTATTTTAACTTTTGTTCAAAGTAGGTCATTTTTTCGAGTATAATCTTTATAGAAGGAAAAAGAATGCGATAAGCTTATTGTTCCACTGCATAACTTTTTTTTAGAGCTATCCCAAATATCACCATGAAAGGCTACTGTTGCTGCTGCTGAGAAATAAGGAAAACAAATATAAAAAAAAAAAAAAAGTTAGAAGGGAGGAAGATGATAAAGAAAATGTGTGATTAATTTGTAAGACATGACGGGACGTCCGCGAGAAACAATCTATAAATATGAATTACCTCGCCCCTCTCCCCTCCTTGTCCGCCATGTGTTTTTGTGTCGCAATGATTTATCGAAAATGCAGAAAATATAAAATATTAAAGGTATACGAGTGACCATGTTCTTTTATGTCATTTTGTCACGCTGTCGAATCACCGATTTAGCATCGGTCCATTTTTTTTTTTTTTTTTTTTTTTAGGTGGGCTAAACGCGAAAAATAGTGTACCTGATTTATATATATATATATATAAAAAGAAAAAGCAAAATCTTGCAGTTGTATATTTTTTATAGAGAAGTTGCTATGTTTCCGCCGATCCATGTATATAATAAATATAAAAAAGAGCTATAAATACAAGAAGATGCAATTTAGGAAAACACCTTTTTGCAATTTTATAAACGTGAATTAATTCAATTCCCACTTCCAAACAGCGCGCGTGCGCGGATGGATAGGTTAATGCTCGCACAGATTGGGAAATGATAATATGAAATGAGTGCCAAGGGTCGGGGTGGATTTTTTGTATATAAATTAAATATGACACCTGATTTAGAGTCGAATAGGTGGTGGTGACACTTTTTTTTTTTTTATAAAAATACTGTTTATGGAATTAAAAAAAGACCAAAGAAATAGCAGCATTGACATCTCTGGACTGTTATATTTAGACATTTCTGTGTAGCCTCCAATCGCCTATTAATAAATTTTCTGTCTTTTCTGTCCTATTGTTTTGACATTTTTTATTTTTTATTTTTTTTTTTAAAAAAGCGTAAACAGGTTTATAAAAGAAGACCTGCATGATTTATTACGCAGTAAAAAGTAATTCTTATCTTGTATAAAACAAGAGGGATAACGGAGTAATTTTTAAAAAGAGTGGAGTTTTTTTTTTTATATGTAATCTTTTACACGTGTAGAGTTTCAAAAAGAAATATGGAAGCTGGCCTGAAAAAAAAAAGTATAAATTATCCCCCCAGTTCCCACTTTCTCACTTTTATCTTTATTACAAACACACATTCCTTTTTTTTTACAAATACAATGAAGTTTTCCGCTCTCTCTATTGCCGCTTTAGCTACTGCCGCCACCACCGTTTCTGCCAACTTTACTGTAAAGATAGATAAAGACGAATTACCTATTTAGGTTGTACTAAACCTTTCTTTTCTTAAAATTTTAGCTTTCTGAGCCTTGGTCTACCTCCGTTTGGACCTCGGGTGGAAATGCCTCTGTTGCTTGGACCTCTGTCGATGAAGCTGGAAAGAAGTGTGAGATTCACTTGTTGACTGGTAACGCCACTGCTGCTACGTAAGTCTTCTTATTTATGTCATCTTATCTCTTTTGCAGTATCCTAAACATCTAGCTCTATAGTTTTGTCAGCAATCTTACTGCCCACGGTAACTTAGTTCCTTGTGACTTCACCAGAGCCAACGTAAGAAAGCAAAAGAAAACATTGTGTTAATATTTTATTCTGACATTTACATATATAGCTTCATCCTCTTCCTGATTATATCTCTGGTGATTACTTTGTTCGTTTCGGTGAGAACGGTGGTGATACTGCCAACTATGCATACTCTGGTTACTTCAAGTATGTTGGTAACGGTACTGCTTCTTATGAAACTCTTACTACTACTCCCGCCCCTGCTGCTGCTGCTGTTGCTACTCCCGCTGCTGATGCTTCCGTGGTTCAAGCTGCTGTTGCTCAACCTGCCAGTATCTAAATATAGAGAGAAAAAAAAAACTTCCCATCCTCCCTTCATTTCATATTACCAATCAATCGAAAAAAAAAAAAAAAAAAAAAATCAAAAAAAAAAAATTATTTGTACAATATATACTTTAACTTTATAATTTCTCCTCATTTATTTATGGATCACTTTTAAGTGCTGTGCGTTCTAATTCTTTGGTAATATGAGCCATATACCGTGCTTTGATGATTTCTTCATCCGACCAGCCGGTAAATGCATCGGGAGTTGAAATATCCGAATCGCTCTCATCTGTCTCGTCAAACGAATCCAAGCTGGAGACACTGAGGTTATCTTCTATGGAGCTAGCACGACGATGACTATTTCTTCTGCTCCCACGGTGACGATCATCGTCATAAAACATGCCAAAGACTTCATCTTGGCCTGCATCGGAAGATCCTACAGAGGAAGAGGAAGAAGAAGATTTACGCGTACTGCCCTGATGATGATGAGTAGCAGTAATGGGTGGAGAAGGGGTATCATGACGAGACAAGGGAGCTAATCCGTTTCTAGGAGAAGCTAAACTGGGTAAATGAGGATGACTATTACTTCTCGAAGAAGATTTGGATCTTGTAGCATGGGATTCAACCACAGCAAAAGATTTTTGACGTTCACGTTTGTTCCAATGAAGACAGTTTTGAAGTGAATTGAACCAATCGGTTGCTTGGTCTTCTTTACACACTGTCGGGAAAGGAAATCGAGAAGCCGTGACTTTAATATGATCTCCCTCTACAAAAGTAATAAAAAAACATTGTGTGAGTCTCTTATGGCTATGCCATTCCAATTCTTTTTTTTTTTTTTCTTGCTTACGTTGGATTTCTACTCGGCCACGGCCGTCGAAACTGACCCAGGCAGTGTTGCGAGAATTAAATGGGACACAGATACGTAATTCCATAGAGTCAGGTACTAGCGTGGGACGGAAAGAAAGTGTATGAGGACAAATGGGTGTGATTAAGATAGCATGAATATCAGGGTGTGTTAATGATCCACCAGCAGAAAGCTACACAGAATAGAGAAATTTAGCTATGTATCCAAGAAAGAAAAGAAAAAAAAAGGGGGGGGGGGGGCTTACGGAATAAGCGGTACTGCCGGTAGGTGTAGAAATGGCCAAACCATCAGCTTGTACGGTGGTTAAATGTTTATCATCCCCAAATAATTCTAATAGGGACACGTAAGGACTAGGACCACGATCCACCACTAAATCATTAATGACGTGATATTTCTCTACGGGAATAGTGGTAAAGCAAGGCACTTGACGTTCTTCCCCCCCTATTGCTGCAGCGGAAGGAGGGGAAGTTTCGGCATCTTGCCAAATCTCTTCTTCTTCTTCAATATCATCTCCATCTACTTCACCAAATTTTTTGGGTTTACCGTCTGCTTCTTGTTGCTGACGTTTTTTTAATTCTTGGCACCAGCCGCCTACGGAAAATTTGCCGGTAACAGGATCACGTACGACGTTTCTTAACTGGACAGCTTTGGCTTCTTCTGGTGATTTGCAATCGGGGTGAGGAACACGGCGGTAGACGGTACATGTTAGGCGACCACGCAGATTGATACGTACCCCGCGTTCAATGGCGCTGTGTAAATGATGCTTATATCTACCGAAATCAAAGGGTGTTAAGAAACCAAGCGAACCTAAATGAAATGGAATGACGGGAGGAATATAGTTTTGGAACAACCATGATGAGAATAACACTGTACCATCACCACCGAGCTTTTTATATATATATATATTACTGTGATTAGACGAATATAGATAGATTTTAGTTATAGGGACTTACTGTGATGATAAAGTCGAATGATTTAGGTTTTAATACACAAATTTCGGGTGTCCAGAATTTGAGCTTTTCGGATGCCAAAGGATGTTTTTTAATTATCTTGGGAAGATTAAAGCGGTTGGATTCCCTGAGTTTTTCATCAACATAACTATTTTAAATGTAAGTATCTATACTGGTAGAAAACAATATTTTTTTCTGAGGGAGGGGGGGGGGCTTTACACTGTGATTCCACTGTCTGTCCCATATCGAGGTGTTTCAATCAAGTATAAGGCCATTTCACGAGTCATTCTAATCAATGAGCAATCGCCAGGTTTTGTAATGATCATGACACATTGAGCGTGCTCCCATTTAACTCTTGTTTTTCCTTTTTGTTATATATGTGTGGGGGGGATATGAATAAAAAAGAAACTTTTTTTTTTTTTACAGTGTACGGTTTTTTGCTTGTTTGCTTACCAATCTTTTTGGCGACTTCTCTGACTGCCTCTGCAGTATCTGCGAGATACGACGTATGTTGAGTTCGTGGAATAGTGACATTACTTTTTTTGGAGGGAGATGTATTCTTTGCCAGCGTTGTTAAAGCGTCTGTTAACACATGGCAAGATATATTATTGGGCATGTTTAAACAAAGTAGAGAAAGATAAAAAAAAAAAAAAAAAAAATGAGGCGCATTTAAATCACCTGGACTCAATTAATACATGTTTTTAAAAGTCATTTGGTGTGTGTGTGAAACCCTTGAAAAGTCCTGTTTAGATATCTTGCAAAAAAAAAAAAAAAAATTGTCGTGTATATAATAGGGATTGCCATATCGGAAGAGGTACGTATGCATTTTTTACCGTGTTGGAAGACCTTGTGTCACTTTATTTTTTTTTTATGCATGCAGATGCCCGGATAAACTTCTACAATAGTCTCTTTGGTGGAGGCATTTACTTGGTTTAGATGACCATTCCATTATTGTATAAAATCATGTCCTATTCTTTTAATCCACACTTCGTATTCTTTTAATTCACACTTGGTTTGTTCGAGGTGTCAATGTCGCATACAAGTAAGCTCGAGTATTGAAAGAGCTTTAGACAGTGTACATTTGCTTGTCAAAAAGAAAAAGAGGTAAGCAAAGATGTGTCTTTTTATTGAAGCTCTCTTAGTTAAAAATGAGTTTACGTATATAAACCTCGGCTGCCGGAAGATTTGACAGCAACAACAACAACAGCTTCATTACGTAAGCGAAGGCTAAAAGCGTGCTAACTTTAAAAGGGTTAGTCCTTATAAAAGATGACTGCGGCATTAAACATTGCAAACGAAAGCCTGTGTATGCTAACAGACATTGAAAAGAACGTAATAATAAGGCAAGCTAATCTTTATATACCATTCGGATTCAATGAAACAAAAGAAACAAAAGGATATAAACTACGATTACAATTTATCCCTTTTGAAGGGATCACCATGGAAACATATCAGCAATAAAATCACACACATATTAAAAAATAAACTCAGCGGTTGATGTTAACTTTCTCGAGCCAATAATATGTGTAAAGTAGTGACTTGATATACCCCTTCACAAAAACCTCATGTCGCCCTCAGGGCACCTGTACTTAGTCAAAGGAGGCTACCATGTAAGTAATCTCGGAGATACTTCTGTCATCAGATTCAGTTATATCTACTATAACTCTGCCACCCAAAAAATTGGAAGTATTCTAACCAGGGATAATGATACAAATATATCTGTTACAATGGAGATTGTGTGATAATTTATCACTGATGTTTTGATGAGTATAGGCTTTGAAGCATTCCGTAGTACCATGTGAGGAATACACTAGTAAGTGTTGTTGGCACCATTATTTGATTTGAAAACATGAGAGTTTCCTGGTAGGTTAGTAACAATATTAATGATTTGTTGGTCGGTAAAAACAAGATTCCATAATTAGGAGTACGTTCAATTGGGATACTTTTGTTATTACTTGTTGCGCCCCATTTTAGAAAAAAGGAAATGTAGTGATTTCTGGTGTGCATGCATTCTTACACAGTCCATGCAAGTGAACATGGGCATATCAAAAAGCTGAAAATGGTGTTACACAGAAATAAACAAATGTTGATCGCAGAAATCTCACTTCTTGTGAAACCTAAAGCACAAATTCGAGGGGTCCTCATATTCTTTTTCATGCTGTTAAAATTGGGTGCGTGTGTGAATTTTTATTATTGTATCATTTTACAAAATAAAAAACTTTATACTTCTAAATAGTGTGTGTGTTTGGGGTGAGAGAGGTCTTTTAACTACTAAAAAAAAAAAAAAAAATGTTTATATACATTTATAAGAGAGAGAGAGAGGGAATAGTTATTTTTTAAAATAGCAAAGACTATTGATTCGTGTTGTTATGACCAACACTTTTAACGCATTCTTGAATTTGAATGCGTTCTTGCTCACGAATGGGACCTACGCGTCGCAAAATTGTTTGTAATTGAGCAACGTAACTTTCGACATGGTCGACATCGGGCGTTGTGCCTGCTGGCACAGGTACATTTAAAGCACTCAAAACTTCGGACACGGCTCTTTTGAACTCTGTTAAACGTCGATTCTCTTCCTTGACTCGTGCCAATTCTTCCTTCTCGACATTCATTGATTTCCAGTCCATCGGCTTTCTTTGTCTAATTATTTAAAAAAAAAAATTAAAAATAAAAAAAAAAAAAAAAACGTGTGTGATTAATTAAATTAAAAAAAAGCGGACTGTCTTTTTTTTTTTTGTTTACCCTGTATTCCGGATTTCATTTTCGAAAAATGAGGTGGTTGGAATAGCATTTGGTGTAGTGGGTTGGGGATGTTGAAGTGTTGTGTTATTAGAAGGCGCATTCCAGCGTTGAAGCTAAAATAAACTAAGGGAGTTAGTTGATATATAAACAAGATAATCCATGTTAATTTTCTTTCTTTTCTTTTTTCTTTTTTGCTTCTCTAACCTCGTCAATGGATTTAATAATGCCAGGGCCCGTTGGAAAGCGCTTTGTTAATGTGGGCGGTGTACTACCTGGTCTTGTACCAGTCATCGTATTATTATTAGAAGAAGAAGAGGCAAGGTGTGCTCTATTTGGCAACTTTTGTTTTGGTGTAACCAAGGGTGGAGGTGTGGCTGTAAGAGGTCTTCGGTCGTCTGATAATGAAGGTCTTAACTCCAAGGCAGACTTCTTTCTTTTCGCCTCTAATCTTTCTTTATAACTCGGTGTGACATGCATTGACGAGTGATTATTTATATTACTATGTGATGACTTATTTCCAAATAGATTGAATTTGGATTTTGCGGAAGAAGCTGTACCCATATCATCATCATCATCATCATCATCGTCATCGTCATCGTCGTTGCCATGGTTATCATTGTCCTGCTTATTATCATCGGAACTGTGTTGATCTTCTGGGAATAACGATTGTGGTGAAGCGCGTCTCTTGGAGGGAATCGCGGATACAGATTTAGTTTTATGAGTCTTTCGAATGATCTTTTGTCGTTCATCTTCCGATTCATCTTCTTCATCATCTTCTTCCTCTTCTTCCTCGTCGGAGTCTTCTTCTTCGTCATCTTCTTCGTCTTCCGAGTCATCTTCCGAATCATTTCTTCGAAGACGGCGTTTACCCTTGGGAGCTTTTTTACGATACCGAACTGTTAAATGATCACTACATTTTGCAATGAAATTAGCAGGGACAGAAGAAGAAGGCGGGATCACACTGTTATTGATGCCGCACGTAGCATGAAAGCGACTATCGATTGAGAGAACGTTTGAGAAAGTGTTGTAAAATAAACATGACAATTTTTTTTACTTACGTTGTACAATTTGGTTCTTCACAACGAATACAAACTCCCTTTTTCTGTGAACAGTAATGACAAGTCTAATAGATTTTAAAGGGATCAATAAACAATCAATCTATAGATGAGAGGGGTATTTACGTCTTTGTCTAGTAAAGTCTTTGTGACGGGATAGGGCTCAATTTCATTCTTGATGTTCTTGTTCCACATGGCACATACGACATGCATGTATTCTCCAGCAGTAGTTGTTTTCTTTACAGCACCTGTCTGAATAGGACAACAAACAATGATCTATATTACCAAAATGATCAGTTAAAAAAAAACTAAGTGAGAAATGCGTAGTTAGAAAACTTACTGTCGCTTTTTTTCTCTTTTTGTTTTCGCATCGCTGACAATACCAATCGTCTTCAGGCACCTCTTGCACATTGTAACAAACTAGAAAAGATCATTAAATAAAAAATGGAAAAAGGAGCACGAAATTAAACTTTACTTTTGTGCACAGGCAAATTACATCCTTTGCCGTCGCAAAAAATAATGGGGTTTTTAGTAGTGGATTTGTCACCTTCACAAATATTACATGCGTCCTGCTAGAATAAAAAAAAAAACAAATTAAATATAAATTAAATAATTAAATCATGGGCCTTTTAAGTTTTACTTCGTCGGCGGCCATTGCTATTCTTCTGTAAGACGGGAATGGGATTAATTTTTTTATTTATTTTTTTGCAGGATCAATATTACCTCCTATATATACGTCTGATAGTGTCTTAATCTAAATTATTTGAAAGAGTGACCGTAAAAAAAAAATGAGTACGATTATTCTTAATCTCTCTCTCTTTTATATCAACAAGATTCAAAAGCGCCAAAAAAATAGCGACTATTTAATTTATTACCCTTAAATTGAAAAAAAAAAAAAAAAAAAAAAAGATATATACTTTTTTTTTTTTAATGTACAAAAAAAGGTACGAAATGAAGAAAGAAAAAAAAAGATAGGTGGCGTTTCCCGTTTATTTTTTTGAATGATTTTTTTTTTTTATTTTTAAAGAAGCGCCTTCAGTCACAAGTGACGTAAGCCTGGCAAAAATAAAAAAAAATTGCATTGATAAATCCGTAGCATATATACAAGATCTCAAACCACAAAGGATACTCGATTATTGTGACTCGATCATATTTAGAGGAGCAGTAAGGGTGGTCCTTTTTCCGCAGCCATTTTTGTTTGTGAATTTTGTCTGACCCGTGGCTACGGTTGAGAGGTGATCCGGTCATGCACAAGAAGGGCTAGTTTCCCTTCTATTTTAAGATTTTGTCTTGGAAAATGCTAATATTCAAGTTTTATAAAAAGTAACATGACCCTTCCCAATGGAGTAGGTCTGTGTGTCTTTGTTGCGATTCTCATTTCGAGCAGTCTCATTTATCTACAGACAATAGCGTCTGATAAAAAAGAATTTAACTCTAGTAGTTCGTCTGTCTTGAGAATAGTTATTTTATGGTAACACTAGATTTGGAATGTTTGTGGTCACATATAAATGCACAGAAACTCTATTTTTATACATATATATATATTTTTATGGCGAAATATTAACAGTGAGTGAGGGTGGTGGGGAGGGGGGGGGGTAGGTAGGTAGGATAAAAAAAAAGGCTGATCTAATTAATAGAGTTGTGCTGTAATAGGAATTAGGTAGTCATTCATTGTATCATCCTCTTCTCCTTTCTCGTCGTCGTCATTGTGCCTGACATGGTTTGTTGATAATTTGGTGAAAAACAATGGGCCATCATCCGAGCAAACACTTGTATCAACCGTTAATTTTGGTTTCTTTTTCTTTTTATCTTTGGTCGAAGTAGGGGAATATTGTTCTTGTTCTGTCTCTGGACTGCTGGCTTCCGAATCACAAGGTGAAGTTGGTATTTCTAATGACAGCACAGGGCCTTTGGGTATAATATTGGGATTAATTCGATATTGAATTGGTGCTGAATAAATAGATCCACGGTCGTATTCTAGTGACGAATAAGTATTGATAATCACCGGTTGTTCCACATCAAATCTAACTTTCTTTTCGCCTCTTTTTCTCTTGTTTAAACATGATGGTTGGCTTAGATAAGACATTTCTGCTTCTTTTTTAAAAAAAATATACAATAAAAGAAAAAAGAATAAAATACTTTTCCGAGTTATATTTATACTTTCTTTAAATCTAAACTCAATTCAATGTTATAAATATAGCATCACTGTATTTATATTCACTCTTTCATATCACTCCCACCTGACATATATTTTTAAACCCGATCTAGACCTTTTGGCATTGACGTTTTTATTGAAGGTCGTTGTTCAAAACTAAAAAAAGGTTGTTGCTGGGTTTGTATTCCTTCTTTAATGCTTTATATTATGTATCAAGGTCTCCTAGAATTGTGTGCATGATATTCAACTCATTGATACGTCCAAGTACACGCAATCCAAAAGTACACATCGCAATTTGTGTATGCCATCGAATAAAGAAAAAAAAAGTTTATTTATACTCTGCTTTAAACCTTTTTCAAGTTATATGTGTAACGTTAATATTTTGGTTAGCCAATGTTGCTAACAATTACCGCCTCAATGATCCTATTTGATGGCTTTCTGTAATTAGTCGCGTCATCCGTTGCAATATATGAAATAAAAAGATCTACAAGTAGCCTCCCTTTCTTTAACATCAATTTCCCTTCGATTTATTTTTATGTCGAAAAATAAGAACAATCATAACAAATTGCCCAATCATTTTCCAGCTAGCCTGTACTTTTTCTTTTTCTTTTTTGAATCAGCCCGACAGTACACTGTCATAAATTTTACATCATTGTATTCCCTATTTTAGCTATACTGATTTACCCCCACCCCCTTGATGAGGCAATGTTATTTATTTTCTCTCGGCTCTGCAGCTTGTGGCTTTGCAATGATCAAGAAGGGGGAGGTTGAGTGCGTTGCATGATTTAGATATGACAATAACGTACTTTTTGGTATTAATCTAGAAAGAGGTGCATACACAAGGATAGGCGCTAACCAACTGTAAGCATACCAGTTTCAAATCGAGTTTCATTGAGAAATAAATATTGATTTGTTGATGATAACAAAAAAAAAGTTTTATGTTTACTTTCGATTAAATACAACTGTTGTCAAATCAAACAGGAATGAATGTTGGCGCCCTTTTTTATTATTTTTTTTTTGGTGAGAAATTTTTTTGATTATTTCTTGGCATTAATATAATATTAATAGAAGTTTGTTTTTGAACTACTTTTCAACATCATACGCATTAACTGCTGCCTAAAATCGCAAGAAGATCACAATTAAAAAATAACACACCTTATTTTATCAAAAGCGTGATTTAATACATCAATTACGTACGAAATATCCCCTTACTTTTACATCACCTTTCTCTTAAAAGATAATAAAGAATTAGATTATTTACATTTTTATTCAAGTAATCGTATGAAACTGAACTAAAAAAAAAAAAAAAAAAAAACGTTCCACAGAAATGACAGAAAAAATGCCATCAACGTCTGACGAAACACAAAAAATGTCGAAAAATGAATGCCTTCTATCAGAATTGAACTGATGACCTTCTGCTTACTAGGCAGACGCTCTGCCAACTGAGCCAAGAAGGCTTTTTTGATGATTTTGCTGCTTTTTATGCGCTGATATACCAAATGGCAAAATAATTTTTTTTGAAACTTCCAATTCTGAAGTACTTTCATAAATAAATGTGTTTACTCGTAACGTTTCTGAAATGCTTATAAAATTGTATTATAATGACATTTATTACAGTTTTAAAAAAAATGTGCTGAAAGGGTTCTAAAATTGACATTAGAAAAATTCAATTTTTTATTTAAAATGCTTGTACAATCTCCGAATTAATAGGGCTCATGGAGTTCACCGACTAGTCTGGCATCATAAAATATACTCTCTGTCATCAAAGCATTGAAATAATACCACAAATGGGTTCTGCCAATTAATTTTATAGAAACATATAAAATGTTGAAAATATCATTGTTTGTCACTGTAATATCCGATGTGTGTTGTTACTGGCTAGTGTTCGGAATGAAGATCGAAACTCTCGAGCGAGCTTCGATCGTGTTCCAGTCGAAGCTGTTGAGGATATCATAGATATAATAACAAAGTTAATTGTCACATCACATTATGGATGGATAATAAATATGTATAAAAGTTAATCATGAATCACGCATTACCACTTGTTCTCATCCTACCGTTGGAGTCTGTACACAGGGCACATCCCTGTGGCGAGTAAATACTTATTCTGCAAAAGCAATACAATCGAATGGGCCTGGACTAGTGTTCGAACTTTTCGAGCTTGCACCGATCTTGCGCCAGTTCGAACGAAGCTCGAACCGAGTTTTTGCACTCGAGCTTGCGCCACTTTTTTTGGGTTCGAGCGAGCTTCGATCGATGCTCGCTCGAAGCTCGCTCGGCTAAAATGTCGATAGTAGTCACTTTAAAGTTTAGGTCCTTGAAAGACTACAGATGGCATTTTCCCTTGATTTTAATCTTTTCTTCCCTTTACCATTTTTTTTTTTATTTATGCTCTAATAATTCCAATTAAAATGCTTTGGACTTTTATTTAATTGTACAACCAACAAACACATTTACCATAGAAAATAAAACAGTGTTGCACACTATACCCAACTAAGCCAATTTTTTACAGCAGCCATAATAACATGACGTAGCAGAATTAATTTAAACTTTCATGTTCAAAAATCCAAATGTATTATAATTATGGATGCAGTAATAGTTTGATTTAATTATCCGAATTTGGTGTTTATAATACTTAATATATGACTCTATCTACTAAATCTTCCATTTAATAATCCTAAATATAATTCTTATTGATACTGTTATATTAAATACTGATAATTTACTTTATGTACAGGCTTGATCTCATATCATCCTTCATACAAGTATAAGACATACATTTAAATTATAACATTGATATGAAAACATTTGAAGGTTACATCAGCCACATTGAGGTGCCACAGCTATCTGAATTAAGAACTACATTTTTCCCTGAATATTGTGCTACAAGACATGCACAGTTTAAGAATGAATGCTATTGTTATTGTTATGGACATCTCATTATGGCCTTTCTATATGGGATCATTACATTGGAGTATTATCTGGATGAATCTACCCACGACCGTCATCAGTACATCTGTGATCAATGTCTGAAATAATGTGTATATAAAGACCCCCTTTTATTTGTTTAATAAAGCCTAAGTTAATTTTTGCAAGTTTGATAATTTTCTTGTTTTTATTTATAAATCTACACCGATTTCCACAGACTCATGGGTTTCGGCCACGTAAGCTGAAACTAACACTAAGACTAATTAAGTAAGCCAAGACATTTTTAAATGCAAACCCATGTTATCTGAAAAGATATAGATACTCCCCCTTTTTATCGCCTTCCCCGTTCCATAATCAATTATTATTATTAAATACTTTGTAAACCGTTCTCCTTTTGTCTTTGTATAACTAGTAGGTATCTTCTGATATTATTGCTATTATATAATCCTAGCCACGTTCCTGAAACGCTTGTTAATTATAGTGGTGATGGGAACGCTTGTTAATCAAGGTATTGATGGGAACGCTTGTTAATCAAAGTATTGATGGGAACGCTTGTTGATCAGAGTGATGATTAATCAAAGTGGTGATCGAAACGCTTGTTAATTAAAGTGGGTCATCCTATAATAAGCGATGTGTTTTTTCGTTTTCGTTTTTTTATCTTTACCTCAATTTAGGCAAAAACACACACACACACACATACACACACACAGACACACAGACACAAACAAACTATGGAACACCATTTCGAAGAACGCAGAAATGCACTATACAATCTTTTCACTTCGTTTTGTGAAGGTAAAAAAGTTTAGTTGGGATGGGGGTGTGAATCGACAAAAAGGATGTGTGAGTATGGGAGAATACTGACAATTTATTTTTTGGGGGTGGCTGTAGATTTTGCCCATCATGCTCCTTCTACGATTACCAGAATGTTAATTGATAACGACTTTTTTTTTTCTGGCCTGGAGCCATTACCGGTGAACGAAGGCTATCTTTGCTTGAGCTATAACCAGTACAGAGTTCGAATGAGCCAAGTACCTCTTCCGGTCCGTTTTGGTAGGAATAACAGCAAAAAAAATCCATATAAAACATCTGGTATCTATACTAACATGAGAGGTGATTTAGTGAACGTCGTTGACGATGAGGAGGATAAACTTTTGGTGTCTCCCCCTCATCCTGCAGCTCCTTTCGTGGCTTTCCCCCTGTGGCTGAGGTTCTGCCTGTTCCCCCCCTCTGCTCCCCTTCCACGTGGCTCTGCTATCACCACCGCCCAACCCTGACTATTTTGCCCGTCAGTATGAAGGTAAGTTTGTCATCATGGTAATGGTTTTTCGATAAAAGTAACCCGCATCTAATGTTGTCTCTCTCTCTAGTTGGTGACCGTTTTCGACGTTTTCCTGGTGAAATTGTTCACGCAATCACCACCACCACGAATTCCATTTGCTTGCCCTTTGCTCGGGTCGCTAGAGGGCAGTTGGAGTTAAATACGGTAGTAAGGGAGTATATTTTTGTGCAAGGAAACATGACCGCTTCACAGGTTCGAAACCTTCTGCTGGCTTTGATCCTTTTTCTATTGAATGATGGGGTTCTCACCGTGCGCCAACTCGCTTGTAAGTTGTTCAAAGATGTTTTCAAAATCACCTTAACTTATCTATCTTTATCAAACAAAAATGTAGTGCTGCACTCACCCGACCCAACACGCTCTGAGCTGGAATCGATTCGACTGGCGTTAAAACTTGGAGCCTTTCTTGCTCTAATTGTAGAGGACGCAGGTCTGACGGCTTTGTTGTTGGTGGACTTGTTCCCTCCGTCCAAACTACAACGGGCAAGAGCAGCAGTCCTTGCGGACTATGGAAATTTTGTTGCAGGTTTAAACCTGCGTGATTTATTCGAAAGTCAACGGTTGCCTTTAGTTCTCGCTTTCGGTGTCGAAACATTGTGGGACTTCTACAATGAGTTTTTTTAAAAAACGTTTTTCTTTTTCTTTTTCCAACTTCTATCTCAATAAATAACAATTTTATTATCTTAACTTTCTGTAATTAACATCACTTTGACGTGCACTTTGTGTAATAAAAAGGA